TAACTCGGCTTTCCGCATTGCGTTTGAAATTTGTATGGAAATTAGTATGGGAAAACCCATTTTTTTGCATTTTTATCCCTAGATACCACAATTTTGCATGAAGTATGGTGCTAGAATGTATCTAAAAAAGTAATAGCTATTCAAATATGTATGGTTTGAATTAAACACCAAGAATACTTTTTTCTGGCAACACTGCCGGTGTTCCAATGAGAGTCAGATTCCAAACTGAATTATTTTCGGAGTTTCTTATCTTGCCGATTTGGTATGTTCAGATGAATTATTCAAAAACAATTGCTCTATCTCATATGTGTAGTTAGGGAGAGAGAAAGGGGGGGGGTAGTAATATGCCTCATCCCCCTCACTTATATTAATAGTTTCAGTTTGAAATAACTTCGCAGTTTCTTATTTTATCGATTTGGTATGTTCAGGATGAATTATTCAAAAATATTTGCTCAATCTTATAAGCGTTGTTGAACAGCGGGGTGGGGGGAGGGGGATGGGCTAACTGTGTGTAGTTTTTAAAACGAAAATTGTTGTAGTGTTAATTTTTAATATCCACTTTTGGGTTCATTTGATACTGAGGAGATGTTGTTTGAATCATTAGCAGCTGGGAAATTTTAAATTTATATACTAAGCTTTTATTTGAAATATTAAACTGCCATTCGGACCACCCGCATATAGAAAACACAGAAGTAGTCGTACGTTTATAACCAAAACAAGAGACAACGAAAACTGTCTTCACCAGTTTCGTCTCAGACACAGGTACAGTCGGATTTCACTTGTTGGGCTAACTTTAAGTGGGCTAAGTTTCAGTTGGGCTCCCAAGCTAAACTTCACTTCTAACCAGGCTTGCAATTGCTCATTACAGCTGATGATGATGATGGTCCCACCTCTTACCCCTACAAAGGTTTGAGCTGGACGAGTTATCTTTAAGATAATTAAATATAAACATTTTAACCAGGTTTGCAAACAAAATCGAGCTGGTTACAATTACAGATATAAATGTCCTGTTAAATATGCTATAGGCATCAACCAAAAACATTCAAAGGTGTAACTAGTTATCAAAAGTCCAAGTATAGTCCTCGACAATACTTCCATTTACACGTGACCTGGGATTTACACGTGACCTGGGATTTAACCGTTTAAGCTTCCACAGTGCCAGGACTATATCCAAGGAAACGACTTCCAGCCAACCCTTTACTAATTCAAGGCTTTTGCCACAATTTCCACGTATTAGTCATTTATACCTGTATTCCGCGCGTGAGGCTCAAACCATTGTAGACTACTCAAAGCTATTTTTACTATTACTACTACAAAATCAAAAAACTAAAAATCCATCATCGCCATCGAGGCAAACAGTGTAGTTTTTTGTATATGCTACACAAATTACTAAAATGTCTTTATGACAGTCTCCATACAAAATAATCCGTTAGAGATAACTTTGTCAAGATACATGATTTATCCATTCATAAAAAATTAACTGCTCAATAAACAGCTTTTACATCAAGCGTGCAACTACACTTACAGAATTCAAGAGACGCTGCATTTCACATGTAAAAGCTGTTTATTGAGCAGTTAAATTTTTATGAATGGATAAATCATGTATCTTGACAAATCGCATCGGCATCGAATTGAAAACATTTATACCTTTGAAAAATAATGAATTTTGTGAAGCATTATTCAAAAGATGTGGTGTTCTTACTTCATCCGCGTTTCTAGTGTTATATCTATGAAAATCACTTCCTCTTTCAATCCGATCACACAAATATCGAGGCAGCAAACCGTTAACTACTTTAAAAATGAACACCATAGTCAAAAACACAATTCTTTGCTTCACTGACAGCCATTGCAAAGCGTCCAGCATAAAAGTTGAGGAAGTGAATCTATTACATCTTAAAATCAAACGCCTTACTTTATTCTGCAAACGCTGTAATCTCGATATTTGTGGTTCATTGGCCAAAAATAAAATGGAAGGGCAAAAGTCTAGATGAGGGGAGATGATTGATTTGTATAGCTGTATTTTACTACCAATAGTTAAATCGTTTTTCAAGCGACATAGAATTCCATACTTCTTGGCAATTTTCTTGATGACATTGTCAATATGAGAATTGAACTTGAGTTTGTCATCAATAATCACGCCAAGATATTTAATTTCCTGAACGCGATCAATCGTCTCATCATCAATAACAACAGAGACATCATCATCTACACGATTCCGCGAAATTACCATGAATTTAGTTTTACTTATATTCAATTTCAATTGTTTATACTTCAACCATATTCAATGCGTTCTCTAACGCAAATCTTTATTCAAGCGTGAAACGGCTTATTCTAAATCTTTAGCTGCAATGAATAACACAGTATCGTCAGCAAAAAGATTAATATCACAAAACCGTAAAACTCGCCGCATGTCATTAATATACATAATAAATAAAAGGGGCCCTAATACACTCCCCTGAGGCACTCCAAGGTCATTGTTAACGGGACAAGATACAAAATCATTAAAAACAGTTCTTTGTGTTCTGTCAGATAAATAGCTTCCAAACCATTTGTATGCAGAACCCGAAATTCCAAAGCGCTTGATTGTTCTCAACAATAACTGCCTAGAAATTGTCTCAAAAGCGCGTTTTAGATCCAAAAACACAGCAACAATCGTATCTTTATGCTCCAAATTTTCTTTCCATTTAGCTAACACTAAGTTTAACGCGGTTTCACAAGAATGGCCTTCCCGGTATCCCGATTGTTCCGATATCAACAAACAGTTACAAACTTTACCACCTCTTCTTGCATCTTACAATTAAAAATTATCATTATAGTATCTCATTGTTTCATAATTACGAAAAATAGCATTTTAGCTGTAATAAGCAATTGCACGCCTGCTTCTAACAGTGCTGATTCCTTTTCAAAATTTCGACCGGCTTCATGCACAAACCGGCAAACGAGTGCAGTAATGATAAAGATTATTTCAATGCGATAAAACGAGTTGCTTCCTTGATGGTTGTCAACGATATGGTTGAATGAGGGGTGAAGCTAATAATATTTGCTTCAAGGGATAGAACGGCATCGAAAAGAGTACCCTGAGATATCGTAAAATATATTAAAATGAAGTATAATCATTACAATCCAATGACATTTGTGTGAATATATCTGACATTGTATATTGCACCAAAATAGTAGGGAAGATAATGGTTGTACTCGCTTTACAACTGCTCTAATGAGTTAAGGGGGTATTCCCGATCATTTTTTTTCAAAAAATCAAATTTTTTTTTCACGTTTTTTTTGTACTTTAGACTATATACTTTCATCCCCCCAAGCCGTTTTCCGATCAGTGAATTCGGTGTCCAGGCATAGCTGACTAATGGTAAGAACCCCCAAATGGTTTTAACTAAAGTCAAAACTTTAAACGCGTTTTTCTCAAAACCACATTTTTTTTATCGGGCGAAGATTTTTCTCAGAAACTATAAGAGATATTGACTTGAATCTTTGCGCATTTTGTTCCTTATTAAATTCTTTGGAGCTTCTCCCACTTTCAGCCAAAAATATTAACATTTAACATTGTTTGAAGCACCTTAAAGCTGCAAAAAAGCGGGCTAAAAATCGCCTGTTTTTTCATATGGCCGCCATTTTGTTAATTTGCAAGATTTTTTGCTGCCAACGGGAGAAGCTCCAGAGAATCTTATGCAGATTATTAATTGCATCACGAAATCTGTTTCAGATGAAGCCGTTCCAGAGAAAAGTCTTCGCCCGTCCAGGCGTTTGCGGCGAACAGGGGTCTGTTTGCCGCCATTTTGTGACGTCAATAATGTCTTTTTTTATGTCGTAAAAAATTTATTTGTAAACTTTAATGTTCAATAAACAAGAATTCCAAAGAGTTAGGCGCATTACTATTCATTTTCCTTGAAAAAAAAATTAATTGAAAAACAGGCCGAAAAAAGGCAAAAGATTGGGAATACCCCCTTAAGCAAATGTTTTTGAATAAACCATCCGAACAACTCGAGAGATGGGAAACTCCGAAGTTATTTTAGTCTTTATCTTTACTTTCATTGATATAAGTGAGGGCCGGAAAGCATACAGTAAGCTCCTCCATATCTAACTACGCCTATTAAATGGAGCACATGTTTTTGAATACATCTGAACACACCAACTTGACAAGATCAGAAACACGAAGTTATTGCAGTTTGAAGCCTTACCTCCATTTATATGGGTGAGGGGGCGGGGTATAGCTAGCCCCTTCTCATCTTTTAATATGCCTATGAAATTGAAAAATTGTTTTTGAATAATTCATCTGAACATACCAAATCGATAAGATAAGAAACTCCGAAGTTGTTTCAGTTTGAAACTTTACTTCTATTGATATGAGTGACCCCCCCATCCCCCCTCTGACTACGCATTTGAGATAGATCTATTGCTTTTGAATATTTCATCTGAACATACCAAAACGATACAATAATTAACTTCGAATTTGGAGTCTGACTTTCATTGGTACATCGGCAGTGTTGACAGAAAAAGGAATTTTTGGCATTTAATTCGAAACATTGATCTTTGAATAGCTATAACTTTTTTATGGGCATTCTAGCACAATACATTATTCAGCAAAGTTTTTAGACACTTTCTGGGCTATACTTTAACGTATTTAGATGCGTGGTTTGTGCAAAATGGTGGTCCCTAGTAATAAAGATGCAAAAAAGTAGGTTTTCCCATACTAATTTCCATTCAAATTTCAAATGCAATGCGGAAAGCCGGGCTACAACCAATCGACCCCAAATTTTGCGCAGTTGTTTGGAACCCCAAATGGAACCAAAAAAACATGGTTCTTAAAAAAATAATCATGATGACTCATCCTAAAAAATACATACCAACGACTAGTTTGCTTGTATTGTGGACAAGTACCTGCAGATATTTGAAATGTAATTTTAAAATAGTTTATCACCGGTGCGGTGGAAGCTTGTTTGTATTAAGAACCAATCAAATGATTTAATTCGCCACTTCTCTTGTTTCAGGGCCTAACGGAGAATGAGTTTTTACCGTGCGAGAGATGCGGCTGGCCAGTCTGCAAAAGGGAATGCCAAGAACATCCGGGCCATAAAGCTGAATGCAAATTTACCATCGCTCGCGGAAGCAAGGTTAGTGGACCGTAGCGAGAAGCAGCTCCTAGCATCGTGAGAGCACTATGATTGTCTTGATTGCTATTCCACCGGAAAGCATGTTATTCACAGTCCATCAACAGTAATCCCCGCAAGTCAAAGTTGGAATGCAAATTTGTGGTTGAGCCAATAGGTACAACCACTCTGCACTGACTGGCGGAGAACATTAGAATTGTGCATCGACATAGTTACGATCATGGTGTCACTATCGCAAATTGTTGCTGTAGTTGCTTCTGTCCACAGTTAATATTCAAGACCCGCTAGTTGAGTGCAGTGTGTAATAATGTTGCATCCGCTTGTGTAAACTTTCAGATGTCGCTGCAGCACTTCTACGTCCCGCATCCGGTCTATCAGTGTTTGATTCCGTTGCGCTGTCTACTGCTGGCCGAGCGTGATCCTGCCAAATGGCAAACATTAATCAAATTAGAATCGCACGAGGAGCAACGCCGGGGCTCAGAACAGTGGCGTAACGATCGGGAAGGTGTTGCTAAGCTGATTCCACGGTATGTTACACAGTAGTGTTTGCTTCTGAATGAATGAATTCCTGGAATTAATGAAGTTTGTACTGATGGAAATGTATCTTGAGCAGTGCATAATTTATTGATGCTAAAAACGAACTATTGATTTCTTGACTTCAAATTATCCAGTAATATAGCAAAACTTGACAAAGCAATTAACTATTTAAAAAGATATGAGCCCGGGTCGTAAAATCTGCGCACGCTAATGACTTGAGATGCAATTGACAAAGGATAAACTTTGCTATCGATTGCTACATGTTAGTGCCATCTTTGTAGGTATGTGTAATTTGCATATATTTTCTCTTTGCATGCTCTATCTTGACATCCTCCTGTGCAATCATCGTGGATTCTATTGTACACACATGGACATCTGGTGGTCTTGGGTGTTGACAATATAAATTATTCTCCGATACCGAACGTAACCACGTGGCGACCGACTCGGAAGGTTCTTCAAGTGTGAAAACAAATGGAGTGAGGATGAAATATTGAAAATAATTGGAATACTGCAAGTGAATGGCCACGAGATTCCTTTGACGGAACCACCATCCGTTGCAATCTACAACAACGCCTCGATGCTGGAACATTCGTGTCGTCCAAATTTGTCGAAAAGTTTCACTTGCAAGAGGGAGATAGTCTTCTGGGCACCGAATCCGATCAAAAACGGAGAACGATTGAGCATTTGCTACTCAGATGTCCTTTGGGGAACGGCTAATCGTCAGGATCATCTGAAACAGACGAAACTATTCCACTGTGCGTGTGCTCGTTGCCTTGACCCAACCGAATTCGGTACCTACGTGAGTGCCTTGAGATGTTCTGGGTTCAAAAAGGATTCCAATTGCTCTGGTTTGCTGTTGCCGGAAAACGTGAAGAATTGGTATGGTGGTTACATATGTAACAAATGCCGTGGATTGGTAGAAGCCGTAGAAATAACGAAAATCTTGGATCGTGCACGTGTAGATCACGAGGCAATGCAAAAGACCAATGAAAAACACTGCAGCATGTATATAGCACACTATGGGCGTTGGTTGGGACCAAACCACCATTTGATAGTGGATGTTAAAATTTGTCTTTCACAAATCATGGGAGGTGGATCCCCGGAAGCAATCCAGAAAATATCGGATGAGGACTTGATGACCAAAATTAAAATTTGCCAGGAGCTCATCAATCTGTTTGAGAAGATTTGTCCCGGTAAGTGTAGAAACGAAAGTGAGGGGTATCTAATTGTTTGCTTTGAATGTCATTTCCTTTAGCTGAAGCTCGTGTCATTGGAACCACACGTTTTGAATTGCATGCTGCTCTGGCTGAGTTTGGACGACGAGGAGTGGAGTCGAAAAATCCTGCCGTTAGAAGCGCTCTTGAGGACTCATTGTACAATGCAGCAGAGTGTGTCCGGATGCTTTCGCACGAGCCAGATGAATTGCCGGAGAGTAAAATTTGCGAGCAAGCCAGGATAAATGTGAACTCGTTGAGGGTGCTGCTCGGTTTGCAGGAAGGATGATATCTGCTACCGTCACGGTGGTGCCATCGATAGGTCTATTGGAAAAGACATGACAGTTTGTTTGATTATCAATGCACATCATGATGCTAAGGTACCATGTTTTTTTTTCTCATTTTCACAATTAATTGTTTTCTATGAATGGTAAATGTTGGGTTTTATTTTACTTCCGAAATTCCAAGGTTTCAACGAATGATGCAAGGTCATGGGAACTCTGGGCAAATAGATCCAAACGTTCTGAGCTTAAGGTGAACGTTCATGGAATCCCTCCATTTCGCGATTTCACTTGCAATGATTTTGCCACACATAAGTCATACAGAAGTCAAAATTAAATGAGATGCTTGCTTCTCTGTAGCAGACAGGCAGATTCATGTTGAGCTTTGTCCATTAAGTAGATCGCCAGATGTGTCCCCGTGAAAATGCCAAGTGGTAAAACAAATTATATGGAAAATGGATTCCGTTAATAGTGCCCTCAAGGGGAAGATTACCGCCCCGAAAAAAAAAAATATTTTCGACACGTTTTTATTTTTCTAAAAACATTGGAAAAAATATATCAAAAATCCAAGAAAATCAGTTTCTTCCTTAGATTCTTGAGAAAATTAACATGTAGAAATAGTTTTTCTATCTCATCGTGAAAAAATATTGGACTCTCAGCAAAACCGAAAAGTTGATGTTTTGTGGTTTTTTGAGTCCAGCTTTATGCCATGATAAATAATAAAAAATATGTTTGCACGTGATTTTTTTTTAATAAGAAAAAATGTGATTTTTTTACATTTTTGATATATTTTCCCAATACTTTTAGAAAAATCGAAACTCATTTTTTTTTCGGAGCGGTATGCTTCCCCTTAATCACATAAATAATTTGTCAATAATTTCCCATCGTATCGATATATTGATGCGTGCGGGGTCTACTTTAGTCAGATAAGCATGAACTAGAATGTGACGTTCCGTGGGAAAACAGATATAATTACGCATCTAGCATGCTGTGTTGCCAGTTCAACTGGCCTTTTTTATATTTACTATTAAAAAATAATTTGAATGAATAAAACAAAATGTGTCTTTATCCAGCTTTCCATGCTCGTTAATGGCGGCTTGTTTGTATGAATAAATGTATCCTTCACTGTGCTATCTGGAGGTTTGGATTTTGACCCCTCTTTTATACTCTCCCAGGAACAGAAGAAAATGAAACAACATACGCCTATAGTCGCTATATTCATAGTCTGGCGGATAGAATTTCGATTTATCAAAAAGCGGAACCATTTCAATATATTATAGACCAACAATTGAAAAAGGTACTATCAACTTTTATAAACAAAACGTTGATTATTCTTGAATCGCCAATCGAAGGTAAATTACCAGCATCATCGGTTAGGGGAAACTTTCCACAACCAAAAGATGGCGTTAGTATGTGTAGGCGAGCCTTGAGTCACGAGAAAACGGTTTCCGAAATTTTGTTCGCAATAGCTGATGTGCTCTTTTCTGTTGTTGGTCGTGATTTGCTCGATTGGTTCCACTATTTGACAGCTCAATTGGTTCCCGAGATTCTATCCGCCAGACTATGAATAAAGCGACTATACATACGCCCTCCAGTTAGTGTCAAAAAGTACAGTGGAGGATACATTTATTCATACAAACAGGCCGCCATTACCGAGCATGGAAAGCTGGATAGGGGTAATCATGTTCTGCATGTAATTGAGAAACATGACCCGATTTTGCCAACCCCATTTTTGAAAAGCTTATTGCACCAAAGTAAAGTGCACAGGGGCGAGTTGAAACGGTTTTTTAAAAGTTGAACTTTGACGGTCTCTGAAAAAATCATAAAGTAACATAAACTGGATTTTCAGAGTTGGTTGGAAATGCTATCTAACATGCAGCTTTAGTATGATAACTTATTAGTTAGATAATGGTCTTGAACAGGGTAGGTAGATAGTTCCGGTAGAGATCGGCAGTATGATAATTGAATTGAAGTTGAAAATGAGCGAAGGGCCATTAATTCGACAGCACTAGTCAAACGCACACTTCTTTACCTTACTCATACATGAATGGATGTCTTTTGCCTGTAGATTTGAAAAATACTTCATATATCGTATATTTCAACAATAGGAAAGTAATAAAATACATCGAACAGGATCTCTAACCGATAAATTATTACTGCAGAACAGCTTTTACAGCCAAATATAAATGTTTAGAGAACTTAAAAAAATCTGAAGTATAGAAGAAGTCCCAAGAAATTAACGGAAGTCCAGAGAATTTCAGAGCAGTTTTAAGACACCATCAGGAGAAAAGTTATGCGAGGCTCCAATATCTTCAGGTAAGCTTGTAGAGCTTCAGAGCAGCACAATTAACTTTAAGAAAATTGTAGGAACCTAATAGACGTTACGAGGATTGAAAGTAATTTCCGAGAATTTCAGATAAGTTTCATCAACAGACTAATGGGAAGTTCAGAAATCTTCTGCAATACACTGGAGTCGCTTTTTACTCGGGGGATACGAGTCGTGTAAATAAACCCGTGTAAATTCCAAACTCTGCGTAAATTCAGAAAAACGCGTAAATTCCGAATTCCTTGTAAATTCTAAAATTCACCTAGATTGCAACCAATCGAGATTTTTACAAATTTGTGTAAAAACCAATGCACACTGGGCCAGAAATGCAATCTAGCGGAGCAAAATTAATAACTCCGAAACTAAGCATTTCCGCGACTTGGTGTCTTGGGCAAAGTTTCTCATCATAATAAGGACCATCTATTGACATAAACAAAGAGTTCAAAACTCTTCGGCAAGGATGGCGCCACAATCTTATTTAATTCTCTAGCGTTTTGGAGACTTTATGTTTTCCACAACTCTTTTGAAGATGTAAAATTTTCACAGCCTACTGGTTCCGAGTTATATGATGTTGAAGAAATTTTTTCGAAACTATGGTTTTTTCTTTCTGTTTCGTTTTTTGCTTAAAAACATATAATTTTATATTTTTCTCTTATGAAAATGCATTAAATTAATAACTTTTGTGAAGAAACATACTGGTTTAAGCTTCAATTCTTAAAGATATTGTTGAACAAAACGAAAAACAGCAATTTTTTAACTTTATTATCTCCCAAAGCACAAAAAATCGCAACCTGACATTTTCAGCAAAAATAAGCAATACTCGATAAACAAAACATAAAAATTTGAGAGATGTATATTTTGGTGTTTTTAAGATTTCTTAATTTTATTGGAACATGTTTTTTTTTCTTTTTTTTTCTATTTTTTTTTCTAATGCATTGAAATTTGAAGCTTTAACCAGTATGTTTCTTCACAAAAGTTATTCATTTAGATAAAAATAAAACATATGGTTGTAAGCAAAAAAACCGAAACAGAATGAAAAGGCCATATTTTCGACATTTTTTTTCTTTAACTTCATATAACTCAAAACCAGTAGGCTGAAAATTTTACGTTTTTATAAGAGTTGTTTATTTTGTCAAGATAAACAACTTTGCGGAAAACATCAAGTCTCCAAAACGTCAGAGAAAGAATTTAGATTGTGGCGCCATCTTTGCGGAAGAGTTTTGAACTATTTGTTGTCAAAATTTGGTCCTTATTATGATGAGAAACTTTGCCGAAGACACTAAGGCGCGGTTCGGAGTTATTAATTTTGCTCTGCTAGATTGAATTCCTGGCCCAGAGAAGGAAGTGAGGTAGAAACCGGGTTTCATTTCAATTAAGTAAGAGGTTTGTTTTTGTGGTGTCGGAACACGTTAGTTGTACCAACTAATGATTTTTAGATTAGTAAATGGGTTCATTGCTTGTTCAACGTTATCGTACTCCTTTAACCTTTAAGCAATTTCGATTACTCTTCTCTAGGCATCCAACCACTGAAACTCAATTCAACAACGCAGGAAGTGCAAAGAATGCCAAACTCATGACTAATTTCAAAGTAAGTGATAGAATTTCGACCAAAAACAATTGGGAAACACATGTGCGACAGCACAAGCAAAAAGGGGCTCAACTCGCGAAAAAAAAATAGGCCATGGCCAAGGAATTGTCACTCTGCAGGGTGCCGATAGAACCGGAGAACTTCCAGCACCATCCCTCTCCAAAGGGGGAGTTTGGTAAAGAGAGATGAAAAAACCGATTTGTATCTTCCTTTAAAGTTGTCCTAGCTCGCTATCTACTATCGATATGCAATTTTCACACTGCCGTACTCTAACGGAACTATCAACTCTATACTTTCATCTCCTCCATCTATCGTATAAAAATTACCACTTTAGTCTGTTATTTGAAATTAGCATCTTCAACTAAGTATTTTCAGTTTTTCTCTAACCGGAAGCCACCATCTTGGATATCAAAATGGCGTCAGATATGGATTCTCGGTGCCTACACGTCACCCCGTTTATAAAAATACCCATATTGAGGGGTAATTAGCAGTATTTTTCTGTAACCGGAAGCCACCATCTTGGATTTCAAAATGGCGTCAGACATCGATTTCTGGTCCCTACACATCCTTCCGATTCCAAAAATACCCTATTGTTGAGTATTTGACAGTATTTCCCAGTTTTTCTCTAACCCGATGCTGCCATCTTGGAATTTAGATTTGCGTCAGAAATGGATTTCAGGTTCCTGCAGGCACTTCGATTCCAAAAAGACCAATATTGTGGGGTATTCGACAAATAAATTCCGAAATCCGCGTGAAAAAAACCGCGTAAATTCCAAAATCCGTGTAAAAAGCGACTTCAGTACTTCAGGAACCAGCAATTTTATTAATTTCAAAGAAAATGCAGGGACATTCAAGACGTTCTGAGAATTTCAGGGATATTTAAAGAATTTAAAGAAAGTCCAGACAACTCCACATAAGTCCACACAATTTGTGGAACTTTAAAAAAAAAGTTCCAAGAGTTTTAGGAAGCTTACAGATCTTTATAGGTCAGTTCCGATAGCTTCAAGGAAATTTCGAGAACTTTAGGAAAGTCCAGACTTTTGACAGTTGAGAATGTTAGAAAACTTCAGAATTCTAATAGAAGACCAGGAAACGAGTACACTCGTAGCTGTTGACACAAACAGCTGTGTGTTTTTGTCGGTGCGAGTCACGCGATAGTCTGTTTTTCGATAACAACTCATTGTTTTAAGTTTGTT